CCCTGTTGAATTTCATCCTATTTTTTCCAGTCCATTTCTCCAATTTGTCAAGATCATTTTGAATTCTAATCCCGTCCTCCAAGATACTTGTAGTCCCTCCCAGCTTCGTGTCATCTGCAAATTTAATAAGCACTTTCTCTATTCCATCATCCAGGTCCTTAATGAAAACATTGAGCAAACCAGAACCAGGGCAAGCCCTTCGCCATCTGAGCAGCAAGACACATGCTGTGCTCACCATGCTCTGCCCAAATGTGATGGGAAAGGGTACCAGAGCTTTGCCATGTTGCCTGCGCCTCACTGCACCCCCAGCTCACATGGGACCTCTCTGCTTTGCTGCCGTGGAGCAGTGCTGGCACCACGGTGTGCTGCTGGTATCAGGGGCGCTGGTGCTGGGCTGAGGCTGGGAGGGGACAGGGCTCATCTCCAGGACGGCTCCAGCTTGAGCTGCCACTGGCTGGTACAGTGCAAAGGCCTGGGAGCAGCTCCCATGTGCTCCCAGTGGTCAGTGTGGGCACAGGGGCAGCACAGCAGTCCCTGATGGGGCCATCCTGCCTCTCACAGCTGCCCACCTCCTCCTCCACCGGGTAAGGCTCTGCCCAGCCACACCATCTCCCCATTCTGAGACTGCTCCCGTTGGGCTGGGACTGTTCCTGGGGCTGTATGGCAGGGATCTGGAACCAGCCCCAACCTGGAGCCATCTCGGGTGCCACCTATGGCTACAGCCATCTCTTTTCTTTAATTGATTGTAGAAAGCAATTTACAAAATACAAACTTCTGCTTGTGCCAAGCCCTGCGTGTCCAGGCAAAGCCTAATTTCACAGTGAAATTTCAAGCGCAATGAATGGCTTTTCCCAGCACCAGTCCACGTCCAAGCCAAGAGCTTTGCAGTCTGCATAAGCTGTGCTGAGCAGCCCAGAAATGGCTTTGCACTGCCCTGTGGAGCATGCAGCTTCTTGGGCTGGCTGTCACAATAGCCAGGGAAGCTCTGCCAGCACTCACTTTTGGGCTGGTGCTGCCTGGGTTGGCATGGCTGTGTGGGACCACCATGGCTGCAGCCTAGTCTGCAAAGAGCCACAAGCCTCAGCTCTCCATGCAGCCAGCTGGGTGATGCAGGGATCCTGCATGGTCTGTGTGGCCATCAGGAGGGTGTCCCAGCAGGGCTGGCCAGAGCTGCAATGATGGGGGCTCAGTTGAGGGATGGTGCTCCAGGGCTCTGGCTCTTTTCATGTCAAAGTCATAATTTCATGGTCAGGGTCTAGGAGGTTTGTACATACAGATGCATTAATTCTGCATTTAGTGATACAGGAATAATTGGTGTCACATCAATTAGATCGGTTCTTGGATACTGCAGTGATAAGTGCTGTGCAAAGGCCTCTGGGCTGCAGGATGTGAGGAATTCCAGCAGTGAGCAAACCTGGTGGGGGTGGCAAGGATGTTGGGTGCTGAGAGAGTGGTGGAGTGCCCAGCACTTTTGGCCTTTGCACGAGAACAGCAAGGCCTGGGGCTGTCATGGTGGTCAGTGCCTGGGGTACCATGCTGGGGGCTGCTGCACAGCCTGGGGGTGCAGGCCTGTGCTTGGGGAGGGGCTGGCAACTTGGCAAACCTCTGAGCCTAATGTCCCAGTCCCATCAAGGTGATCCTCTGTGTCAAGCCACTTGCCAGGCGCCTGGTTCAGCATCATCAGCTGTATCCCTCACCCCTGTGGCTTTGCACACATCGTGGGTTTGCCAGCTCGCTGCTGCCTGCCCCACCAGCTAATGGGACAAGGCTCAGGTGGGTCTGGAGCAGTGTGGAGACCCCCTGTGCTCACACTCCCACAGTACAGATTGGTGCTGTCAGTCCCATCCCTGCTGCGAACTGTAGGCAGAGGTAATTTGCAGATGACAAATATCCTTGACAGTAAATATTTTTCCCACCCTCATCTTTCTACAAGCAGATAAGGTGGCAGCACTGTAGCAATACGGTTGCTGGAGGGAGACAAACTCTTTGGCAGACTTAAAAGTCTATTGTGTCCCCGCAATTATTTATAGATAAAGAGAAGAAAGCCAATAAGCACAGAATGGAGCTGCACAACTGCATTTGTTATGACGATGATGATGTTATCTCTCCCTCACACCCACACACGCACATCTCCAGTGTGTGGAAACTCGCTGCTGGCAACAATCAAATCCCCAACCAGGACAAGGCAAGACAGACTGGAGGCTTTACCCTCTTGTCACTGACTTGTGCCCAGCCTGTTTTCCCGCAGTGAACCCACCACACAACTCCTGTGCCTTCTCTGGAATAGCACCTGCAGGGCCCCAGGGGGTCTCTCTGTTTCTGGCTGCAGGATGTGGAGACCAGGTGGTTTTTGCCCCTTTAAACCAGCCCCTGGCATGCTGGATGCCTTGTGGTGAGGGGGGTCCGGGGTTGCCTGCAAGGAGTATGGGACTGGCAGGGTCCTCACCACCTCATGCATTAGGACCCCAGAATGTGGGTGTTCCCCACTGATGGCAGGGTGCAGGGGGACTCTGACAGCTTTCCCAGCTCTGCATGGCCAGGACCTCTTCTCCCATCCCACACCACTACCGAGAACAGAAATGTGGGTGTTTGGAGGGATCTGGGATTAAAAGACATGGCAGGCAAGACTGATGGAGGTCACTGCCAGAAAGTGCATTTCTGCAACCAGTGGAGCAGAGACACCCTGAGTGAGAAACATTGACTGCAGTGTGGGAAGAGACAGGGAAGCACCGTGTTCTCCCTTTTCAATGAGCACTGCAGGAGCCAGTAGAGGAGACCAGGGGACTGGCAGAGCTGGACCCACAGAAAGGAAGAACAAGGAAGTTGAGGGGTTAAGACCTGGAGTGCCATCGAGCCAGGCACTGGGGTCCCTGGGTGAACTGTCACATGTGTGACACTGGGAGCCTTGACCAACCCATGTGTCCCCATGTTCCAGGGTGCTTCATGGCATTGCTTGGCTCCTGCGGGGGTGAAAGTCCTGCACCTCCCCAGAGCATGCTCAACCACTGCTCCCCCCCAGGGCTGGGGGTGCAGGAGAGCTGTGGGCTCCTGCCAAGTGCTCAGCCCTGTCTCAGTGTGACCCCCACCCTGAGAAAGCCCCAGGGCAAGCTCTCCAGCTGGTGAGATATTGCCCAAGAGAGTGACTTGGAACCCTTAACTGGACTGGAGAGTGAGATGATTTTTCATTGCTTCCTCATAATAGGAGGACAGGAGTAAGTGACTAGTACAGTCCGTTCACTCGGTAAAGATTTATACAATCACTTCATCCGGTAATTGGTATTCTGGGGAGAGAGAGCGAGCTGCAGCTCCAGCATCCGCCTCTATTTGTTTTATCTCTGTCTTTCTCTCTTTCTCTCCCCTTTTCAGAATGAGTAATTCTGTCCCTCACAATCCCATTTAAACAGAGCATTTGCAGAGTGAATAATTAGTTACATTCAATTAGGCCTCACGCGCTCTCCCTCCTCACTTTGGGGGACAGACGCGCTAATGAGATGGTACATGTCTGACACGGGGAGTGGGCACTGAACATGCTGCGTGCCAGCAGGGAAGGGGCAGCCTCGGGGGAAGAGGGGAGGTGGCCCCAGAGAGCTCAGCCTGCCACCTGGGGAGACAGTCCTTTGGAAACCATCTGGGGCCAAAGGCTTCACGTTTGGAGCCAAAGACTTTGCATCTGTGGCCCAAATAACACCTTATCCTCCAGCAGGAGCAGGATCACATCTGTCCCCAGAACTGGGTGTTCTCTGGGCTGGTGCCAAGGGAACGCTGCCCAGCCTGAGACTATCCCACCAGCACTGCTGGGAGTGCCAAGCCCTGAGAGGAGGGAAAGCTGCTGCCATGTTTTTATCTCCCTTATTAAACCTAACATTAGGTTTTAAGAGGAGTCTTAAATAATGTGCCACTGCCTGTACAGGCAAAGTTGCTCTATGCTCCAGCTGCTCCTGCTCTGGGATTTATGGCCTTTCTCATGCCGTGCTGCCTGTGTTCAGGCAGGGGTGGGTCACAGGCTCAGGCTGCTCTCAGTACCTAAAGCCTGCAGTGGGCTCAGTGCTGCTGCAGCCCCACACCAGTGCTCTGGAGTCCATGGCGACCCTGCTGCTACACTGCAGCACCCTGTAGTGCTGCCCTGCAGTGCGATGGACCCCACTTGTGCATTTTACTGCCAGAGCACTGAGGCGAGGGGCATGGAGCTGCCTGCTGCAGGCAGCCCTGCCCGCATCCTCTGTCTCCTCTGGCGTGGGACACGGGCTGGACATGGCTGTGCTGGGGGCAGCTCCTGCTGGGGGGGTCAGTGAGGGCAGAGACAGGGGAAACGCTTGCAGGGGAGTGGGGCCAGCCAGGGTGTGCTGGGGAGCCCTGGGGACACGGTGTGGGTCAGCACAGCTGTAGGCAGCTCTTCCCTCTCTCCTCTGGTGGGAATCTCTGCCTTGGGAGCACTCGCCCACTCCCAAAGCATCTTTCCCGGAACGTCAGAGCTGGGAGCGCCGGTCCCGGGGGCTGCTCACGCACAGGGGGCAGATAATCACGTTTAATCACACGGTTTCGCCAGCAGTGGGTGGAGGGAGACGGAGCGCGGCCGCTACTGCACGGACGGGTGGGAGTGCGGGGGAGCCGCGGGAGGGGGCCCCGCGCTGGGCAAGCCTGTGGCCAGGGTCCCCCGTGCCCATCCGAAGCCTACGCGGGACGGGGCGGGACGGGGCGGGCGGTGTCGGTGCCGCCCAGCACAGCCCGCGCCGGTCCCGCAGCACCATCTCCCGGCCGCCGCACGCCGGTGTCTGCGCTCCGGCCGCGCCGCCAGCCCCGGGACCCGCCGGTCCTGCCTTTGTCCGTCCCACGGAGAACAAGCGCTGGGCGGCACGGAAGGGCAGGGGCCCGGCCGGAGTGCCCTGTCCGGATGGCAGCACCCACCGTGTCCTGCTCCAACATGGACAGCGCTTCCACAGCACCCCAGACGGGATACTGAGCTCAGCCGTAGCGGTCTCACACTAGCAGTCCCCTTTCCCAGCCCTGGCTTCTCTAGCACTCAGGGAGACTGGGCTCTGGGCTGGGGTCTTCCTGTCAGCAGTGACACTCTGCTGTGGCCAGGGGCCATGCTGGACTTCATTGCATCACCTGGGCAGGAAGCAGGATGGGGCTCTGTCCCATGTCCCCATGCGGGCAGCCAAGTCTTTCTCCACCAGGGCAGCCCTGTGCAGGTGACCAGACCAGCAGGTGTAGTGGTATTCCCGTGGGGTGGTTGTGCCATGGTCCACTGCAGCATCGCATCATTTGCAGCCAGGTCAGATGACAGATTTCCTCCCCAGCTGGAGAGGGGACAGAGGAGATGGTGCTGGTCCCCAGTCTGTGCTCCTGTCAGAAGCAGCGCTCTGCACCTTCACAGCATCTCCTGCTCTGAGATGCGGCTCTCCTTGCCATCCTCCTGGGCCACAGGCTGGCCCCTGAGCAGAGTCTCCTGCACAGGCAAGACATTCTCATCCTGCTCCGTGGGCTGCTGGGTATTTGGGTTCTCTCCGAGGTCCCCAGCCTCTATCTGCACAGGGGCAGGGGTCAGGGGCAGGCAGCTACATTCCCCCATGCTCTGCACCCATGTCTTTCCACAGGCTCCCGCTACACTCCCATGCAGGCCAGAGTATAGGTCCCTCCCAAACGCTCAGCACTTGCAGCAGCACCCTTAGGTTGCCCCAGCCCTTGTCCTGCCCCAGCCAGGCAGCCTAGTTCAGCCCCACCCCTCCTGCATTGCAAAGCCACAGCCCCTGCTCTGCTGCTGGCACATCCCCAGCTGTGCCCAGGAGGGATCCCAACCCAGTGCTGGAGGGGGCTCGAGGTAGACTCACCTCCTTCGGCACCCGTCGCCTGGAATCTGGATGGAAAGAGGGACAGAGAAGGCAATGTTCAGGGAAAAGTGCTCCTGCCCTGCAGGGAGCTTCCCAGGGTCAGAGGCAGGGCTGGTGCTGTGGCACCACAGGTCCTGCAGCTCACGTTATGCTTGCTGCCACTGCCAGGCTGGGGGTCACAGCAGGAGCCAGAATGGACTCATGGGGCACCAGGGCTGTCCCCTAAGAGCTGGCCCAGCTCAGGCTGCAGCAGTGCCAACACACCTGCTCCCAAAGACAGAGCAGGACTCAACGAACCCTGTCCTGGTGATGTCCCCAGAGGAGCTTCCCCACTCTCAACAGAGCTGTCACTGTCCTCCCTGGCTCAGCACCTCAGCCCTTTATGGTCCCTCTGGCCAAGGTTCTCCCTCCCTCGGCCAAGGCAGCAATTCACGTGCTTTAGCCCCTCACCTGTGTGGACCAGGCAGTAGATGCCGACACCCAAGAGGCACGTGACGACTGCAGCCGTGATGGGGATCAGCACTGACAGCGAGGAGCGCCTGCTCGACTCTGCGGGAGGACACGGGGTCAGTGAGGCACCCATGGGACACCCAGCACAACACAGCGTGCTCTGCGTCAGCCCCACAGGGATCCCTGATGGAGATGGAGGCAGGAAGGCATCACACTGGCGATGCACTCAGACCTTCCTCTCCCAAAAACACCATGTATGAGGCCAGCTCTTCTGAGTGCTGCAGGAGCTGGAGCCCTGTGGGGGCTCTGTGCTTTACACCAGATCAGCCCTGGGCACCAGGTGCTTACCGCAGATCACATCCGAGGAGTTCGTCCCTTTCACCTTCACCACCAGCCCCTTTTCCTCACAACTGCAGGGAAGAACAAGACCATGTAACCACAGCAGTAACCCAAGCTCAGGGAATAGTTGGGGCTGGGCAGGCACCCAAGTCACCCCAAAACATCCTGCTGAGCCTGCCAAGCTCCAGCAGGACAAGCAGGGGAACCCCCACTGACACAGCATGATAGGGACAGCAGGTACACAGCAGGGTACCGACCCAGGGGCTTGGCCTGGAGTTGCTGAAACTGCTGAGGATGGGAACAAGTTTAGGGACAAGGCACAGGAAGGAGAAGACCTGCCCGGTCAGAGAAGCCCCCAGGGCTTGAGCACTGTAGCTGAGAGAAAAGCTCAGATAGGCTACAAGTGGCTCTGTGGGGAAGTAATTTCTGGGCACAGATAAAAGCAAAGTGAAATCCAATGGCTGGCAGCTGAAGCAAGACTAATTCAGCTTGGAAATAAGGCTCATGTTTCTACTAGGAACTGCAATTAACCCTCAAGCAGCTTTCTAAAGACAGGGATGACCTGCCAGTTCATGGCATCCTCAAAGCCAAATTCCCCATGGAGAGGGCTTGTGCTTTGGCTGATGACTACAGCCACAGAGTACTGGGAGGGAGAACCTGAACAGGGCATGGGGTATTCCCATAGATCCTGATCCCTTGCTTCTATCATGGATGACAGCATGGACACCCCTGAAGGGACAAGCAGTCTGCACATACTGAGGGACAGGCACAAGTGCCTGAATGTCTGCCTCGACCTCAGCCAATACTGCCCTGGACCACACTGTGCTCCTAGCCATGTTCCTCTTGCTCTGGCCCTACACCAGCCAGATGCTGTGCCCCTCAGAAACCAGTCCAGCTGCCCAGTCCCCAAGGACACCAAGAAAACTGGCAGCAGAAAATGTGCTCACTGGGGCTGGTGGAAGGACATAGTCTGTACTCAAGACAATACCTTGTCCAGGGGTGGCAGGGCTCGGTTTTAGAAGAGACGTTGGAAAAGGTGCCTTCTGTACAGGGTTCACAGGGGGATGACAAACGCTCCACGGCCTTGGCTGAAGAGGAGAAGAGATGGCAGGAAGGTCAGTAGGGGCTGTAGGGGGTGAGGGCCTAAGGGGTTAAGGGGCTGCAGAGGCCAGGTGTGCAGCATTCCCTGTGGCAACAGCACAGCTCTCCCAAAGCCCTGCCATGTTAGGGGAAGCCCCCATTCCCTGAGGTCAGTGCTGACAGGGCATCAGTCCTGTTCAGCGGGAACAGCTTGTCAGATTTACCTGCCACGAAGCCAGAGCCAAGCTGGCATGGCTGGTTCTCCACGCAGGTCTGGCAGCTGATGTCAGAGCAGTGTGTGCCCACCTGGCACTGGCACACTGTGTTGTGTATTGCATTTCCTTGCATCTTCACAATGAGGCCGGCATCTGGGCAGAAGGAACATGGACGAGGTGAGACATCGAGCAGGGGAACCAGTACCCCCAGGCTGGGGTCAGTGGTCACAGGGAGCACTTACTGCCTTCACAGATATCATGAGGAGTACAGTGCTTCTCCTTGGTCCAGCTTGGCTGATAATGCCCTGGCTCACAGGGGGCACAGACAGAGTCTTCTGTTTCATTGCACTCAGAGACCAGCTTTTCCCCTGCAATAGAGGCTGGTGAGGAAGAGGCAAAGGAGCTTTCCCGCTCTCCAGACAGCACCTCTGCCAGCAGGACAGGGGAATGCTGGCAGCTGCGGATGCCAGGACTGCTGCAGCATTCTGTATGGAATCCAGGGCTGAAGGAGCCAGCTCGCCTGATGACCACAAACACTGCAGGGGCCAGGTGGGGAGGGAGGGCTGTGGGGCCTCTCCAGCATTCCAGGGACTGGGAGATGACCTGACAGTGACAGCAGGAGCTAGCAAACACCATCACAATTTGCTAGTGCCAGTGGCAGCACTCTCCCCACAAAGCTGCCTTTGCCATGGGGTCCTGTAGCTGTAAGAGCATAAACAGTCCCAGGAGAGCTGTGGCACATTTGGTGAGGTCCAAGGGGCGTCCTAGAGCACCCACTAGGTCCCAGTTGCTCTATCACAGATGACAGGAAGCTGTCAGCAATGAGGTGGAGGGGCTCCATCACACTAAGCAAAGCTTGCCCTGCTGTGGCCAGGCAGTAGGTCCTGGCACAGCCCAGTTGTGAGGTACCTAGGAAAGGGTTTCCATACCTGGCTGACACCGGTTGCAGCATCTACTGTTGTACACATACTGCTTATCAAAGCACGTTAAGGCATCACCAGGTTCCCAACACTAGAAGAAACAAGACCTGTGAATTCATATCCAATGCTCCCACATCACCGCACTTCCACAACACATGTGCTAATCTGCACCCTGAGGTGAGGGCTTCCTCACAACACTCTTCCCACACCTCCACTAACCACAGACCACAGCAGCTACTCTCGCTGCCTGATGCCAATCAGTACTGTCTTTGAAGTGGGGTGGCAGTGATTCCGGTATAGCTGCTCCACATTTCCCCAGATTTCCTACGATAAGGTGATTGTACATCACCCTATGTCCCTGCCAACAGTACTGCAATCCCTCACAGAGGAAGCAGTGATCACCAAGCTTTCACGCCCAGAGCACTGACAGCCCCTTCCCAAGGCTGACACATCGTCCCTGAGGGACAGGAAAGCCCCAGTCGAGCTCATCACCCATGCAAACTTTGCCAGAGCCTGCCCTTGCTCCTCCTGGCAGGGGACTACCTGCACAGGGAAGGGTAAAAAGGAGGGAGAGAATGAGTTCTTGGGCAAGACAGAGTACAAGAGGACACCCGGAGCACCGTTCCTCTCACAGAGCCAGCCCCTCGCTGCCCATCCCCAGCAGCTCAACAGATCCGCCTGGCCTTCCTGGAGAGCGGGACGGGGGCTCCGGCAGAGAGCGAGGGAGAGAGGGCCGGGCCGAGGGTGCCATGGACGAGCACCCAGCACGGCCGGGCGCTGCCCACCCCCGTGGGCACCTCGAGCAGCCCTGGCTCAGGGACAGCGATGAGGCCCCGGGGCCGTCCCAGCCGTCACACCCGCCCACACGGAATCGAGGAGTGAAAGAAGCGCTGGCAGTCGGTTCCAGCGCCCCGCCCGGCTGGGGGTCCCGGCCGAGGGTCCCAGGGCTCGCCGCTGCCCGTCCCTGCCCGTGGGGACCCCCGGGCCAGCGCAGGGCGGGGCTGGGCTGCCGGGCCCCGCCATCGGAGGAAAGCGAAAGCGCGTAGGTAGAAAACCTAGAGAGGATGGATCCCAGGCAGCTCAGACAGCTCCTCCGCCCTGGCTGGGTCCCTAGAGACCGGACCGACGGACCCGACGCGGCAGCGCCGCCGGGTCCCGCTCACGCCGCCCGCACACAACCCCGGGGCTCCCTGGAGGAGGAGGCTGCGCCGAGGGGACGGGACGGAGCGGCCGGACCGTGCCCCTGTCCGGAAAGCCCGGCGGGACACAGACACAGGGATGGAGGGATCCCCTCCGTCTCTGTCCCTGTCCCGCTCCCGCTCCATGCCTCCCCCGATCCCGGCCCCACTCACGCCCAGCAGCGCCGCACAGAGCAGTCCCAAAAGCCCCAGCCGGTCCATGGCGCTGCGCCCCGGCCGCCGCCGCCGCCCTCCTAAGAACGCCTGGTTCCCGCCCAGGAAGGGGCGTTGGGGCGTTGGGCCTCCCGCCCCGGGGCTTCCCCACCGGCCCCGGTTGGGGACAGCTCTTCGCCGGCCCCCCCGAGCCCTGCGTTGCACGCCCGGCCTGCGGGCAGTCGCTGCTCAGCCGGGAACCCCCGGCCCGGAGTCACGGCCACCGGCAGGAGCAGGGGTCGGCCGCGGGAAGGGGAGGGGAGCGCCTGTGCAGCCCCCGCCAGGAGCTCCAGGTTTCACGTATTTCTAACAGCAGCTCAGAGAGTTGGCTTGCTTTGGGTTTTTGTAATTTAGGCTTTAAGAGCCCCTCTGGCTGCAACCCTGGAGAGCCCCCACAGCCGCCAGGAGCCCTGGCCTCTGTGGAGCGTCCCCCAAGCACGTCAGTCCTGAAAGGGGAAGGGGAAACAGTGCTGTAACCTGGCTGTACCTCCGTCTCAGTTCCCTAGAGGGGTTCCCAGCAACCCTTAGGGTATTTCCAGGATCCCTGCTCGCTCCGGACACGTTCCCTGAACTCGCCTTGGCGTGGGTGGCTGGGCAGCGCACGGTGGCTCCTCAGCGCCCCTCGGTGCCCCGGTCACTTATGGCACTGCTGCCCCGTCCCCCGCGGCCACACTGCCCACACTACCCACACAGCCGCGATGCCTGACAGGACACACCGCAGCAGTCACCTCCCCCAGTCACGGTCACGGCCTCGGCCCCAGCCGGAGGCTGGTGGCCACAGGCGGCCGTCGCCAGGTCACAGCTGCTCGCGGGGAGAAGAGCAGCGTGCTCCCCGCGGGCAACGAGAATTGGGAACTGAGTGCTCTGGATTTCCCGGCCCAATGTCACTTCCCAGAACTGACTCACTCGGGAGGACGAAGGGTCCCTGGGGAATCTCGAGGGTTAAAGGGGACGGCCGCTGCGAGAAGGGGATTTCTGGGCCCGACTCCCGTGGGCCTGGTCTGGGAAATCCCCGCGGCACCAGGCGATGCCTGAGCAGGGTCTCCTGTGGACACGGGCTGTGATGGTCCTGGGCGGCAGCGGGGCCCCGGTGCTCCCGGTAGGCAAGAGGTGCTCAGGCGGGAGCCCCTATGGGAGCCCCTGTGAGAGCCCCCGGTCCCGCTACTCGCACAGCAGGGCAGACTAGAGAGCCAGCTTCTGCTCGGGACGGTGCCGGGGCTGGGGGCGCAGCAAGGGGACACCGCCCCTTGAACGGGGCAGGGATACTCCGGTCCTGGCTCTGGCCCCGGATCCGGTCTGATCCCGATCGCGGACTCAGTCTCGGGCCCAGTCTCAGTCCCTGTCTTAGTCTGATCCCCACCCGGTCCCGATCCTGACACGAGTCCCGGTCCCGTTCCAAAGTCCCGTCCGGTCCCTCTCTGATCCCGAACTCTGCTCCTGTCCCAACAGCAGTCTGACCCCGATCCCCATTCTGTCACAGTCTGATCCTGATCCCGGTCCCTGTCACAATCTGAGCCCAATGCCACCGCCTCCCCCGCGCGAAGTCCGATAGCGCCACCCAGCGGCCGCCTGGCCTCCTCAGCACTACAACTCCCGGCCCGCTTTGCAGCGCCGTGCCGCGGGACATGCCGGGAGCCGGGGCAAGTGGCCTTTGCCTCGGCAGGCATGGCGGTACGCTGCCGCGCCGTAAAATGCAGTACGTCGCCATAGCGACTGTACTCCCCCCCCTCCACCTCCCCTCCTCTTTGCGACGGCGCCGTGCGGTAGCGGCGGGTGGCGCCTTTGTCCTGGCGGCAGCGGCCTGACGGGGCACCGGGTCCGGGCCGGAACCGGCGGTGAGTCTGCGGGTCCGCGGCCTCGGTACGCGGAACGCCTGAGCGAGAGGCTTATGGCAGCGAGCCTCGCGGACGGCCCGGTCCCTCCCGGCCCTTGGCTGAGGCCAGGCCGGGCCGGGCGTGCCTCGCGGCCTGCAGGCGGGCCGCGCCTCCGCCTCGCGTCCGGGCAGCGCGGGATCGTCGCGGTTCGATGGGGCTCGGTGAGGCTGCTCCGCACCTCCGGAGCAGCCGGTGCGCGGGATGAGAGGCGCTGGCAGCGCCCATGCCCGGGCGGAGACAGGGGAAGAACGGGTGGGAGCGGCGGCCGCTGGTGAAGCTCCGAGCCGGGGGTCCCTCCCCGCTGCCCCAGGAGCTGCGGTGGGCCCGGGGTGAGCGGGAGCCCGGGGCAAGGGCGGCGCGGGGCGCGTTCTCACGGCGGGAGGGAGGCGGAGGCGCTCTCCGGGTTACGCGTGGGTGGCACCGCGTCTGCCCAGGTACTGAGGGCCGGGACGGGCGGTGCCAGCGCTGCCCCAGGAGGGCCCTCCTGGCTTTTGGGAGGGCGCGGGTCTGCTCCCAGGGAAGCTCCTTGCTCCTCGGCACCTCTGCCTTCCGTGCCTGCTGTTTCTGCTTTGCCCCCGAACTTGGAGACTTGTGTCGTGTTTCGCCCGTGGCAAATTTGCTTTAATATCCCACTCAGCAGAGTCTTGCTTCCTGAAGCTGTAGTGCTATTAATAAACAACTCTGGTTTTAAATATAAGATTTTTAGAGAGATGTGGCTTTTAATTGATTTGTAGAGGATTTGTTGGCTCATGAGGTGCCGTGGGCTGTCCTGTTGTAGCACCCACAGTTACTCCGCGGGGAGTTGGCACCTTTAAACTGTCCCGGTGCCTCTCTGGCTGCATTCATACAACAAGACTTAATGTGGGAATTAGGTGTTCACCTGATGTAGCGTGCCCAGAGGTGGGACAACATTCATTTATTCTGGTCTTATGATCACTAAATGGCCCTTGACTATGTAATATGCCGAGTGGAAAAGAGGCGGTGAATTATCTGAGAGTTCTGGAGTAACTCATCTCATTTACTGATTGTTTTGAAGTGGGAAAATAGATCTCTGTTTTTCTTAACGTAGAAAGTTCTTGCAGCTTCTTCCTCAGACACCCCCTGCCATCCCCAACCCTAAGGAACACAAAAGGGAATTTCTTACAGCTTTTTGTACTGAAAATGAGATGTTCTGCTGGCAGTTATAGGCCTGTTTGACACCTGTTTGCTGTATGTGCATGTGCAGTGCATCCTGCTCCAAATGGGAGCTTGGCCTAGATGGTGCCTTCCATGTTTTATTGCCTCTTATTCATTTTGAGGGAATTTTGAAAGCTTCTCTACCCTCAACTGCTGAGAACTTGACCTGCAGTAGTGGAATAGAAGTCCAGTGCTTCCATGTAAAAAAAATGGGATTTGGTACTTCTCATGGGGAAGATAAAACTCTTTGTGTATGTGTGTGGACAAACTTGTAGGGGGACTGGAGAAAATATGATAGAGGAGATTACTTTTGTTGGATTTTGGTTTGAGTGCTGGGTTTTTTTCCTCACCCCAGTTCTCACACAGTTAATTTTAAAATGTTTATTAGACAGGGAAGTGTTCTCTGCCTCCCATCTCTGCAGGGTTTCCTAAAAAGGGGGAAGAGTGATACAAATGTGAAGTTGATTGATCTTTAAAGGATAAATAAATACGTTTTATGTTTCAAATCTGGAGTAGATGTATTTTTCATGCCAGTTAAGCGTTGCAAAAGTATTTATACAGAGCCGTCTTATATATTTTGACATTTGATTTATTTATTTAGAGATTACTTTTAAATTGTATTTACTCTAGGGTCCTGTTAGGGAGTATGTTGGTTGTAGGCATTGCATGATTAAAAAGAGAAGTTTCTGTTGATAAATTTCATCATCTTTCTTTTTCTTGCATGTTACAAACAGAAAATCCTATCCTGCATTCCTGTAGGTGAATGTTTAGGAAGTAGAACAAGTTCATTAAATAATTTTCAAACTTTGAAGTTCACCTTAGAAGTTTCGGTGTTACTAATTTATTTAAGCTTATCTAATGGTGAATTTTAAACCAAAAAGTCTGAATCTTAGGGATGGTGTTTTTTGTTAGCTTTGGCAGCGTTTGTTATGGTGTTTTGGGTTTTTTTGCTGGGGTGTTTTTTTTTTATTTGTTTGGGTGAGTTTGTGCAGTGAATGTTGCTGACTGCTCCAGCTGTGTGCAGGTGTGTGGGCTAAGGAAATGTGCTTTTGCTGCATGGGGGAGGCGAGGAAGGATGCAGCGTTTACCTGGGGGTGGTTAAATTCCCAGCTATGGACCCGCCTGCTGTTGGAGCTGACATCTCCGTGGGGGCAAGGGTGTGCTGTCTAATAGAGATGCAGATGAGAACCTGTGCTTTCTGGGATTGGAAAGCTCAGATTTCGCACAGAGTGAAGTGACACAGGTGTGGTCACTTAGAAGTATTTCAGCAGTATTTCCTGATACCTCGTTCCAAGCCTTACTGGAATATTTGTGTACTGTTATGCAATGTTGCAATGAGTGTTTCCTTTCCACTTATTAAAATATTGCATAAATTTCAATACTTCCTATCAGTGGATTGAAGAACTAGATGTGACAACAATGGGTGTGTTGAAAAGCTTAAAGTTAAGGCGTTTTAGTGGAAAATTAGTTTTATTTGTATCTTAGTTTGGAGTTAAACCATTAAAACCTAGCTGCAAAATAATTAGGTTTGCTACCTTTCAGTATTACAGAAAAGTTCAACCAGAATGCTGCAGTGAATGTTTTTGCCTGACCTCTGTGTCCCTCGTATTAAGATTTCTCTGGAGTGAAGTTTGCGTCAAGCAGACCCAGTTGGCTTCTAGTCTGCAAAGCTGTTAAGTTTAATCTTGTTCCAGTTTAATTTTAATGTCATGGATTGAAGTTATATGCATGGCCATTTTTTTTTTTTTGCGAAGAGTTGGATTTGGAACGAAAGCAAAATGGCTCGAGGACGCAAGAGCAATAGCATCAAACAGAGCGACTTCACTAACAGCACCAATCCTCAGGATTTAGAGAGAAGACTTTTTGTCGGCAATTTGCCCACAGACCACATGACTCGTGAAGAAATGGAAGAGATATTTTCAAAATATGGCAAAATCAGGGGTTAGTATATTATCTTATGCCTTTTTATGGCAGGGATTTCAGTGAGAAATACTGCTTCGTGCTTGTCAAATGCTATTTGATGATGATGAGAGGAGTGACCAAGGTTGTTCCTAAATAGTGACCTTTTAATGATAATTTTCTCTGCTTGCACTTTCTCTGGAAAAGTGATTCCTTCAGTACAGCTCAAATATAATGGAAATATATCAGCTATGTTTTAGCTTTTAGGGTCGCAGTGTGACATCACAATACTCTTTCACAGCCTCTTAATCAAATCTTGGTCACTTCACGGGCTGTATTTTGGTCACTGCCTTTTCAGAAGGAACTCGATCAGAGCCTTTAAGCTGTGCATTTTGATCCTGGTGGATTTGATTTTCCCAGGAAGCTTTCATAGTGGTTTCTGGGTAGAGTGCAGCTGGTGGGGTTAGTGATGGCCGGGTGTGGGTCAGCACTGTCCGTGGTTGTAACCGGTCTTGCCCTGCTGTTAACTCTTGCAGCCCTCAGCATGTACCATGGCTATGGGTTCGTGCAGTATGACCGTCTAGAAGATGTCCAGGCCGCTCTGGACGGTGAGAAGGGTCGCCTTTATAAAGGGTATAGATTAGGTAAGGAAAACTGCTCCTCGCTCTCCTGACCCCAGCATGCGTGCGGGAGAAAGAGTGCTGTTGTTTTAAAGCCCTCTGGAAAGGTCACAATGTGACACTTGTCTGGCCTTAGTCTCAATCACTCAGAATGTATTTGCCTCCTGAGAGTTCCTGCTCTGTGGTTCACCTTGCTGCCTGGTTCTTACCCTGAATTTTTATGTGTTAGTATTTGGAAAGCTCTGTTAGCTTATCTAAGGCAACAAGTAAGCCCTGGAAAGGGATCATTGAAACCTCCAGCACAGAGTTTAATAACATTTGTAAACCAAAACTGAGCTTCATCTTGACATGCTCAAAGGAATCGGCCACAGCACTTAGTGGCTGGTTGGCTAAGTAAACTTAGCTGGGATTTTTGCACAAGTGGAGCCAGCCTTTAAGCAGTGCTATAAATACTGGGTGCTTTAGAAAGGATATTTTCATAAAGACGAAGATAATTCTGCTAAATGTGCTGTGAGCAGACTTAAATGGAAATGAATGGTTAGAAATCCACGAGTAATCTTTTAAATGTAAGGAAAAAATTACTTTCAAAGTCAGGCTATGATAATTTGAAGAAAAACAGTTTGACTTAAAAAAGAATGACAGGAGGAATAAATAGTAACCTGTGGGAAGGTGTATTTACAGTAACAAATAGGAGCCTGAAGATGGAAATGAAGGCAAATAGACAAGAAGGGTAGAAGGATATGAGAAGAAATGATGTCCAGCATTATCCAAGTGTAGAGGCTTAAACGGGAACAACTTTGGCTGTTTTAGAAGCTAAGGGTAACTGACTGGCAGTGATAAAATTTCTAACTGAGAAGACCAGTTAATGTTTCTGCTGTCTGTTTTTGAAGAGGCAGGAGGTGTGTTTAATGTAATTTTCATTTCAGTAGCAAAACCAGAAAGGTAAAACTGCAGCTAGCAAAGCTAGAACTCTCAAAAGAATTAACGTCAGTGAGGCTCAGTGAACTACTGACCTGCCTAGCATGTTACTGGTGTTTTTCCACAAGCCTTGGAAAACTAGGGAGTTTCCAAGGAGCTGCTAGAGTGCTGCAGGTGAGACAGTAGGCAGGGTAAATGGGATGAGCTTGGCATCAGCACCTGGGAACAAAGAGATTCTTTCACCTGACACTGATGAGAAGGCAATTTATTGATATCCATGAAAATAAATCCTTAGTTACTCTTATGGTACTGCAAGGTCTAGGAGTGGAAGCAGCAGTGTTAATGTACAGATTGCTGTAACGTGTTTGACTTAATAAGAAACAAGAACAGTTAAAAACAACAGAGTTAAATGGATTTCAGGTCAATCTAGAATGGAATAGATGTAACACAGATGGAGAATTTCTCAGTGCTTTGAGTGGTGGTCTGGAAAAAGTGAATCCTGGCCATGCAGGGCTTTTGTAAGTGACTTGGAGAGAAAAACATGTTTTTTAAAAAGGGATGAAATAAAGAAGATTGAGTCACTGATGGTGAAAGGACCTGGACTTCCTATCCTGGATGCAGACAAACCTGAGTTTTAAGTGAAGCTGACAGGGAAGGTCTGCACCCAGCCAGAGTGCTTTGGTCATCCTTGGCTGTGCAAAACACAGGTGTGCCAGTAGGAAGGCTTTGTTATCTGTGGGATTCTGCTGCTGGGAAAGTGCTCAGTTTTGGTATGCCTGGTTCAAAAAGGATAATGCTGTATTGGAAAAACCTTACTGAGGTTTAGAATCAAAGAATGAGCCCAAGCAAAAACCTTAAGAGAAAGGAGTGATGTGATTTCTGTGTTACAGACAGTTTTGGGGATCAGGGAGTTTTAGTGTAGTAGGCATAGGTGTGAAAATGCCTTAAATGTGAATAAAGATTTTTATCTAACAGCAGAGTAATTGGCTTGTGGAGTAATTTATTGGATCTGTGGTGGTTTCTATGCTCTGAAGACTTTTAAATTGGAATTGGATGTTTTGCTAAAAGATAAGCACTAGTCCAGTGCCACTGCTGCACTTGAGACAGATGGATTCCTGTCACCTGTGTTTGTTCAGAAGGTTACACTGTGTGATCACAGTGGCCCTGTCATCTCAAAATCCTACAAGACAGAAGACTTTTTATTTGGGCTTTTTTTCCCCGAAGTTTTGTCAGTGTTCACATACTTAACTTGTAAATGCTGTTGGCATTAAATAAAATGTTACTAAATGTGTGTTTTGCACAAGAGAAGGATCCCTGTCAAAGTTTTTTTTCTTCCACTAAAATATTTTTGCGCAGATTTGAAGACTTTTTTTATTTTAAAGCAATGTATGATACTGAGTGTAAAAATCATAATAGGTTTCTTCAATGGCATCTTAAAACAGAAAATAAAAATAATCTTAAACCAAAGAAAGCAGCTAGTGTCTTGCTTAAAGATAATACTTGACTTTAAAGGGGAAAAATTATCCACTAAAAATAAATGCAAGGAAAACAGTTACTTCAGTTATGCGGCCTGAGTATTAAATACAGTCGTTAATAACACAAGGTAAAAAGTTTTGGGAGAGTTTAACTCCAGTGTAGCATTATGTGAGTATTTCCACAAGTGTACAGAAATGTTTTCATATGTTTAGAAGTAAAACTATTTAGAGAATAAATGCCCTTCAGATGTAGTTTGTAACAGTAGACCCTGCAGCTGTGTTTGATCCTGGAGAGGTGCTCTGGGTCCTGTGAATGGGGTTATGCTGCAGTTGTAGTTAATGTTCAGATTGCACTTGCTTCTCTGCCCCATCAGAGAGGCAACACACTGCTTGATTGACATCAAGAACAAAAATTAGACCTGATCTCTTCACTACAATTTTAACCTTGAAAATAATGAAGGCTAGTTTGGGATGTTACAGAGGATATTAAGAGTGAGTCTGCCTAAAGACATCATGGCATGTTTATATTCTCATGCAAGAGCTTTGAAAGTGGTTAATGCAAGTAATTCATCAGAAATGTTAATTGTTGATAGATTCTGGGGGAGCAGATAGGGCCTAGATTTGGGTTCTTTTCCTTAAAAGGTTCTTGGTAAATGTCCGAAGTCACTTTACTGTTTGCTCTTGCCCGCCTCCAGTGCATTATTTCATCTCCAGTCAGCTGTCACGGGGGGCTTTGAGAACAGTGTGGGTCCCTGCCAGGTCTGGGCAAACTTCACTTTTGCAGGTTGAGGACAATGTTCTGTTTCTTCAGCTCTCTTTCTCTGTGTTTCCCTTCATGGTGTTTTTCACAGAGATGCTCAGAAGCCAACCAGTTTTCAAATTTCTGATCTGTTGCCTCAGTTTGCATCACATTAACCATGGTGTTTTGAATGCACCATGTTGACTTCATCAGGAGCCTGTGTTCCAGGCTCCCGGATCCCCTTCTCAGCGGTGGGGGCTGTGCACCCTAACACTGCAGCAGTCCCTTGGAAGGCAGTTGCATGTGCCCCTTTGAGAACCCTTGGATTATTTCCAACAAGGGTATCAGCAGGCTCTGTTGAACAGGACTGGCTGTGAACTTTAAACTGTGCTGGCCATCATTCCTTTCTCGGAGGTTTTCAGACTCTGCTTTTTCTCCTAGAGTCCATGAGTTGCTTTCTGCTTGCTCATAGACTGCAGAAGAAAGAGGTTTTCTTATGGAAGGAAGAGTCTGGATGTAGGCCTGAACATGCAGGGTTAAAAACTTCACCCAAGCTGTCCACCCTACTTTGAAGTCAGAGAAATCCATAAAATTTTCATTATGTTGTACTATCTAAACTTAATAAAAAAATTGTCAAAGTGACAATGTCTCTCTGCTGAATGGATTTCCTTGCACCATCTGGATGTTGTTGAGCTTAAGTTGCTTTCATTTGAATTGTGCTGATGATCTTTTTTTTGTTTCATAGCATTGAACAGATGGGTTGATTATTCTTTACAGATATTAATAAAGCAGTGGAAAGAAGAAATATGAATAAGGCTTCATCAAGGTCCAGTCCGACACGAAGGTAAAGTACCTGGAAGCAGTGAGTTATACTAGGAATTCAGGCCTTCGGGACATGAGCCCAGCGGCCTGTGCTAAATGTCTGTGTCTCTTCCCTACTGCCACCTCCCCAGTCAAACAGTGATGCTCCAGCAGGAAAGTGTCTGCTCCAGCTCTGAGAACCCTTTTGGCTCTGGCACCTTGGGAGGCACGAGGGAACCCTTGTGTCTGCTGCTGTTACTGCAGCCCAGCATTCAGTTTTGCAGCACAGGCTGTAAGAGACTTGGGAGGATGATGTTTGCTCCTGCCTCCAAGGATCAGAGAAGCCGAGATATATCTAGAGAATGCCAAGAGGCTGCAGCATTTCCAGAGCTCTGCTGCAGAGGATCTTGGGGTCTTGCCTCTTCTGACGTTGGAAGCTTCCAATGCTGCAGTGAGACCGGAAAAGAACACTTGAGCGAAACACAAGACAGAGCAAATGTCTCTTGCACAGTCCTGTCTGCCCATGTGGTTGTGTTATCAGTGCCTGGAGCCAGCCCCTGTTCAGTCACTGATGTACTCTCCAGCTTCTCCTGGCTTCCCACCCCTCAGTGGGCACAGTACCTTCACCTTCTCTGTGTGGGCAGCCAATGGCATGGGAAAAAGATATGGATTGGCCTGTCACAGGAAGATGACTTCAATTTCCTTTCCACAGCATCATAGGAAGCACACAAAGACATATGCACTCCAGTGCTGTTTGGTACAAGATATCCACCTTGTTCCTCTGCTGTAAAGCTTTCCATGAAAAGGCCTGGTGCTTGTTGAACATGAAGGTACTCGAGGTCCCACGTCTAGTGTGCTTTTCTAGCTTGATCTGTTAAGTTACCACAAATGAGGAAAAAGTGCAACTAGCAAGACATCTACACCAAAAAACAAAGCACAAAGAATGAGTAGTTGCAATTCTTGGCACTATCTAGGATTTTTTTGCACTGCACTTTACACAGGGTGAAATGTGCTTGCAGAGACCAGCGTGTGGGCATCAGGCCCAAGAAGTGCTGGGATTCCTGTGGCAGATACAGCAAATCTTGGGCCTGGGGTGTGCTTGGTGCTGGTGGGAGGACCCTGGGAGTCGGAGCAGCAGGCACTGCATGGCATATCTTTGGCCTCAGTGCCACTAATGCTGCAGCACTGCAGGGGTGAGGGGCAGGCATCTATACCATGAGCATTGGTCCTTGGACCATGCTGTAGAGGGGCAAGCACAGGCACTGACGCCATGGGCATTGCAGCCTATGTCATCCTCCACGTGTACAAGAGCAGGTGCCTGTGCCACAGTCCTAAGGAGCACTGGATGTGCATGAGCTGTGGTTCTGTGGGCACCCATTTCTGGACTGGACAGCAGCTGAAGGCTTTGGTGCCGCTGTGACAGGCTCTGGATTTCAGCTAGCACTGCATACACTGTGGCCATGCCATGTGGTTAGCACCAGGTCCTAAGCAGCACTGTGGACACAGATGGTGGTGGGGTCACAGTGGTCACGTCCTGGGCATGGCTGGGATCGATGGACCCTGGACCATGCTGTGGCCTGGGAACAGCAGCTGCTGCTGCCAGTGCTGCAGAGCCCCACACTGCACCGCACACTGCGGTGCTGGGCCGGCAGGGCCGAGCCCCGAGCAGATGCAGGCGATTGTGCTGATGCTGCAGGAGCCAGACCATGGTGACTGAGGTGTGGAAACAGAAGGTGGAAGCTGTCCCTCTGTGCTGCTCTCTCCCTTGAGCAGGGCAGCCATATGGGCACAAGAGCCAAGGGTACCTGTGCCACGTCTCTTCTGTTGCAGTTGTGCGTTGTTCATTCCGGATCTATTTGTCTCTGCGGATAATGAATGTGGCCTGTTCTGGTCACCCCCACTTCAGCTGGAATAAATGTCATATACCAAACAATTCCCCTGCATCTGGTTGTTTTGCTAAATGGTCTCACAGCTATGGAAAGATCAGTTACTCAATATCCACTAGAGCAAGTCAGAAGTTTCCCCTGAGCTTCTGCCATCATTCATTGTAGGTTTTGGGGAAGGGGGCTATGATGTGTCTCTCACTAGATTTCAATGATTTCAGTGGTTTCAATGCAAATCACAAACAAAAAGTGGTATATATCAAAGAGACTGAAGGAGTTTATACCTGGCTGTCTGCAAATTCATTATGTCACTTAGAGGAGGAGGCTATGTGTGCTCTTAGTGGCATCTCTAATTTGTCCCAAAATCTGGTTTGTATCTGACATGCAAACAGAGAATGCCAGCACTCTTACGTGTTCCCAGCACAGCTGGGTGTCTGACACCAGAACCCATGCACAGACTCTGCTCTTCCATCTCGTTCCTGTCACTCTGCCTGGCACCAAACTTGGGCTCATATGACTTGTTCTCTCCAGGTGATCTTTATGTGACTGCACTGCAGTGGATACAGACTTAGGTTCTGCTTATATTTCTATATAAACTAGATTAGGGTGTTTGAGGACTGTAAAAGTCGTGTCAAGTATGGGAAATAAAAAGATTTAAAAAGCTGGGGTTTTTTCCTGTCAGTATTTTGGGGAAAAAAAACAGTCCAAACACATGAAGCTTCATAGTTTCTCTGCAAGATTTTTTTTAATGCTTTGTTTTGACTACAGTGAAGTTACTGTCTTTAGAAAACAGAATACAACCTGGAAAAAGCCCTACTGCTTTGGGAGAAGATGAAGAAGACTGGAACATTATTCTTCCTTGCCTCTGAAGACTGCAATACCAAGTCTGAATGAGATGGGTCATTCAGATCCAACAGAGAAGCCTTTTGCGGCCGCTGAGGATACAGTGCTGGTTGGGCTTAGTACCCTCTTAACCAGGGCATTATCAGCATAAGGCTGACTTTCTACAGAAACTATCCCTCAAATCCTGGGCAAGGCCATAGTTGTCTTTGCTTTCTGTCAGCAGCACAAACCCAACCACAACATGGAATCTGCAATGTCTTCACTCACAAGCTGCTCCTTTTTTAATCATATGCCAATAATGTTACTTCAGGTGTTCTACTGTCATTGAAGAGTGAATTTAATGGATCCCTTAAACACTCCTGGCTATTGCATATTTGTGTGTATTAGCCTACATCACCTTAAATTCTCTCAAAGAATTTGCCAAACTTGATTGATAGATCATCTATGGCTGATGTTGGAGGTCAGAGGCCTTAAAATGGTGTTTTCTGAAGTGCCTGTTCACTTCATCCACAGGTGCTCTACTCTTAATGCTCCATTAAGGAGCTTTCTGGGTCTTGTTTGGCTGAATATTAGAATTAAGAACTTTCTCCAGACTGCTTCAAAAATATGGCTTTTGGTCAATTGTTACTGTTGTGGGATAAGAGGGAGGATTCAGCTGCTGTGAAAGGTCACTTTGGCACCTCAGGTAAGAGAGCTAGGGGTAAGTGCTTATGTTGTTAGCAGGCTAATGGAATTTCCCTGGTGTTTTTCTCAGAGATCAATACACCTACGGGGATGGCCGAGATGGCAGGCGCGACCGCTCCCCTCTGCGGGGGAGCCCACGGAGAGACCCCAGAGATGGCAGGGATGGCAGGAACGGGCGAGATGCTAGAGATGCTCGAGACATGCGAGCTAGAGACATGCGTGATGCCAGAGACCACAGGGACCCACGGGACCTGCGAGACCCACGGGATATCAGGGATCCAAGGGACTTGAGGGATCCACGTGATGTTAGAGATCTTCGTGACCCACGGGAGCCACTGTATGATCGATACAGGGATCCACGGGATATGAGAAATGCACGAGATGTGAGGGATCCACGGGATATGAGAGACCCTCGGGACCCTTTGTACAGGTAAACACTGCAGGATCCTATTTGCCAAAATAATGTTTTTATGGCGTTTCTGCTGCAATTGTTTGAGTGGCATTTAAGGAAATCACCCTTGGCTGGGGACAGTTGGGTGCTGCTCTGAGTCTTGTGAGGCGCACATGGGTACCTCAGAAATTAAACTTTAGGGAGGTCTGGGTGTGATGCATTGGCCAAAGTTGCTGCCTGAGGTGGTGCTGGAGGAAACCCATTGCTGCTTCTGAATGTTGCAGGCGAGACGAATCTTACGACCGTTACCTGCGCCTCGAGGACTACTATCGGCGCAAGGACGACTCCTACTATGACCGCTACAAGGAGCCAGAGGGTGAGTACCTGTACTGCTGTGGCCAGGGTGTCACAGTAGTGGTGCTCTGTGCCCCTCTGAGCAGCTCTAAAGGGTGCCACTCGTTCTGTCCCCGCGGCTCATTTCAGACCGCCTGAAGCGTGAGGAGCGGCGCCGGGAGGAGCTGTACCGTCAGTACTATGAGGAAATCAAGAGACGTTTTGATGCAGAGAGACCTGTGGATTGTTCTGTGATAGTGGTGAATAAACAGACAAAGTAAGAGAAGAGTAATAATCAGTTTTATTATTGCATGGTAGAAGAGAATGGATTTAAACTTAGTCCTGCCTTGAGGCTGTTTGTCTTACAGGTGGCTCTTGAGCAGTATGGCTTTAGAGTCCCCAGAAAGCTACTTCTCCTGTTTTTCTTCTAGGAATATGCTTTAATGAGATGAGGAAATATATCTCGTGCTATAGACCTGTTGAAAGATGACCCCTGAATGCCTTAGATACAGTCATTTTATTTTGCACTTCTTAAAAAGATGGTTGAAGGGGGGACAGTTTTAGTCACCATTACAGACTTTGCCTCCAAAGACAATAAAATCACCCTCTTTCTTGAGGTGTGGATGCACACAGACCAAATTTGTCAGACTTTTTGTCCAGTCAGTATTGCACATTTGGTTCTAAGTATAGTAGGCTTAAAAAAAAACCTTGGCAATTTAAGCTCAGCCTTGTGAGCTGTGTTTTGTGCTTGGATGGGGAAGTCTGTAGGATAAGGTATACAGGAGTAGTGGATCCAGAGATGCTGTGTTGGCAGTGGGTTAGAGCAGAAAGTAGCTGGTAGAAAAGAGCAGGCCAATAAAGAATGAGGCACGTGTGACATTTGAGAGACTGAACAAAGCAGGAGTAAATGAGTTCTGTGGGTTGGCTCCTCTGCTGTGTACCCCTTGGATCTCTGCTGGCATAGATTTCTTCCCCTAATGAATTCAATTGAAACACATCCATGTGTAAACAAATTTGTAATAGTGTAAATCCCTTTGCAAACACTCTGTTTCTCAGCTAAACTGAGACTTGATTTGTAATTTATTTTGGTGGAACTGAAATGACTGATTCAGTTCAGAATAAGGCCTTTTATATTCATATAATGGGATTGCTTTAGTACTGTCCTGCTAAACGTCATGAAGCTGGGCAAGTAATCAGAAGAGTAAATCTGAGATGGTGGAGAGGGTGCAGTGCCAAGGTTTCTGTTCCAGTATGTGAGTGATTTGTTAAAGTGCTGCCTTTGCTGTGTGTAGGGAGTACGCAGAGTCAGTGGGGCGGAAGGTGCGGGACCTGGGCATGGTGGTGGACCTGATCTTCCTCAACACAGAGATGTCACTGACGCAAGCCCTGGACGATGTGAGCAGAGGAGGGTCTCCTTTTGCCATTGTCATCACCCAGCAGCATCAAGTTCACCGTTCTTGCACTGTTAACATCATGTTTGGCACCCCACAAGGTACTAAGGTCGCAGTAGGCTGGGAATTGTGTCATTACTCTGAACCTTTCTTTCAGGCTGAGCCACATAGTACAAAGTTCATCCTTGCTGTCACATAAGTAGTTATAAATTACTTGACACCATGTCATAAATGTGAATATCATTATTTAAAAGCTTCCATAATACTCTTATGTCCCCCTTGTCAAAAGAAATATCTAATTCCTGCCGAGAGGAATCTCATCTGTGTTCTTGGTTCCTAACACTGCCAGCCTTTGCATCTCAGGGACCCCAGAGCTGCACTGCTCTGGGAGATCTCTGAGTAATATCCGCCCAACCTCACTCTACCACTTGTTGTTCTCATAAAGAACCTTTTGGGAATGTGTCAAATTAAAGGACAGATTTTAAAATCAAATGTGATTTAATAAGGACTTGGTAAAGGTAAGGATTTGATAATGAAACTGGGAAGAGTTATGAAAAGTTAGAACTACGAAGTGTTATGAAAAGATAGATCTACAAAGTGGATATACAGGCTCCACCTTCTTAGCACCTTTACACTTGTCACATCACTTTCCATCACAGCGTTTGACTTGGCTGTTGCATGAGAGTGGGTGTAGGTACTAAAAACACCTTGTCAGAGTGTGACTGGGGGGAACAGCTATGGCTCTGATCATAGGCCTGTTCATGAAATCTGTCAACACAAGTGACTGGTTTGACCACAGCTGAGCTTTCAAAGGTTATTTCTCCCTTACTGTGTTCCCAGGTAATGTTCTGTGAGTTTGTCTGGGAGAGGAAACCTCGGAGTGCACAGTCAGTGCTTGGTGTGTGTTCACTGACTGGAGTAGCCCAATTTCTTTAAACATCAGATGCAGATGTGATAGGAGAGCTCCCTCATTTCCTGCAGACACACAGCTCACACACACTGTCACTGGGCTTCCCACTGCCCTTGGTTTTAATTCTCAACTTCTTTGGTTTAACACCTGTTAAACCTTTGGCTGGAGGCCAAAGCTTCTTTTCTTCACTGGATCTGCTGGTTATCAGGTATCAGACCTGATGGGAACCCCAGTCATTAGCTCATTCACAGCTAATTCCAGAGATTAAATATGCTCACTTCAAGTGCTCCTGGCCACCTTTGTGCTATGTTTGTTTCAGGGAACTCTTTCACAACTTGTGCAAAGCCTAATGTTAAAATGCGCCCAAGTTTCCTGTTAGGAGGAAAAGGCTTGCAGGATTTGATGTTATGCAGGTGTAAAAAGGACCCTGCCCAGAGCTTTGGGCACTTTTGGGAAGGTAAAGGCTCTTCTGATCTCCCAGTTTGAATCTCTGCTCGGGTGACTGTTCATGCGTGTGCTTTGGGAGGTGGAAGTAATGACCTGAAAAGCCACCATTGGAATTGCCCACTACTCATTTTATCACAGAATATGATTGCTGCTTGTTGCCTCAAGAGTGGTGAATGTGAGCAGCCATGTGACACTGAGCCAGTGCTGCTCCCTCCCCAGCTGCATGTGCACATGAGATGTTAAGGCGCTGGCAGCACAGAAACTAACGTATTCCCATGGCTGTCCTCCTCTGGGAAGCGTACAGCCTTCAGAGGGCAAGTTTTGGATCTGTCCAAGGGTTTAGCAGTAAAATGACTGGGACCATCTTATCTCGGAGAATCGAGGATTTATGTGAGAGATAGAGGGAGCTGCTTTCCTTTTAACTGGTGAGACACAAAAAAGACATTTCAAGGCTGAGCCCTCAGCTGTGAAAGGAAAGGCTGGCCTTGCTGGCTGATAGCCGTGGGCCTTCTGTTGGCTTTGGAAATCTAACTATTCCCATGTGCCTGGGAAGTCCCCAAGTCTGCACTCACACTCCCTGAGCGGTGCCTGCTACTGACTGGGCTGTGCTGGCAGGCAGGAGGAACAGCACCTCCATCAGGGTCACTTTGAGTCACTCTGAGTCACTCTGAGCGTTTCTTCCTTTGTGCAGAGCACCGCAACATGCCCCAGGCTGATGCCATGGTGCTGGTGGCAAGGAATTACGAGCGCTACAAGACAGAGTCCCGGGAGAAGGAGCGGGAGGAGATCGCCCGGCAGGCTGCCAAGATGGCAGACGAAGCTATTCTGCAGGAGAGGGAGCGCCCACCCCCCATGGAGGAGGGTGTCAGAGGAGGTCACCCTCCCGGGATCCAAACTCTCTTGAACCTGCTGGCAGACAATCGCTATGTGACTGCTGAGGAGATAGATAAAGTCATTAATTACCTGAGAGACCGGAAGGAACGGTTGCTGCGGGGCAGCACTGAATCTCTGCAGGGTAAGTCACATAGCCCCAGACAGAGTTTATTGTGTGGTTTGTGGTCCTCAGTGCTGGGACTGGAAAAGAGTCCTGGGACTGCAGAGGAGTTTGGGAGCATAATATCCTCATGCAGCACCTCATTTTACTGAGATGGACGTGTCATTGCATGCCGTGAGACAATTCAGCATTTTCATGTGGAAGACTTTTATACTGGATTCTCTTAGGGCAACAGGAGGACTACCATAACTGGTTGGGTTGCTGTATTCAATTCTGTAGAGTGGTTTGGGTTCCCAGAGCTGTGCAGCTGTGATCTGAGGGTGGATGTTCACTGATGCCGTGTCTTTGGTAGCTGTTTCATTAGTTTTCTTTAGATGTCCCTTCAGGAGCATTTGCAGAGCTTTAATCATCTTTCCTTTCTTTCCCAGCACCAATATCGAGACAGCCTTTGGGGGCACCTTCAGGATCATCACTGGGTAGTCAGTCCAACCTTCCAAGTTCTCAGGCTCATCAAGGTTCACAGCCTCTGGTCTCTACTCCTTCTGTTCCAGTGTCCTCTTCTACTCCTCAACAGGAGCTTCAAGCGAAAATCCTCAGTCTCTTCAACAGTGGGGCGGCGGCGGCGGCAGCAGCTGCAGTGGCAAACAGCGGTCCTGCAGCCTCGGCAGGCTCTTCGGGCAGCACTCCCAACCAGAACTTTGCTAACCTGGCCGGCGGGCAGCCCCGGCCAGCACAGATGAATGCTGGAAATTTAAACCAGGCTCAGCAGAGATTGCAGACTCCAAACACGCAGCTCCCTGTTCTCCCAGGCCCTTCGAGAAATGCAGGTCCGAGACCTGGTGCTCCTCCACAACCTCAGCCGCTCTATGGTCAGCACCAAACCCGCCTCCCTGCGCCTGGCAATGTGCCTGCCCAAAGGCCGGTGTCTTCTGGTATCAACTTTGACAACCCCAGTGTACAGAAAGCCTTGGACACCCTTATCCAGAGTGGTCCTGCACTCTCCCACCTTGTGAGCCAAACCGTGGCCCAGGGGCGAGCGGGGTCCTCAGCCCAGCAACCAATGGGTGCCTACCAGCGACACTATTAGAGCTGAGCTGTTGGGCCCATTCCCCTTCCCTTTGCCATTCCATACTTATAGCTGTTTAAGGAGTCTCCCATCCTTGACCCAGGACAGATGCCCTGGACATGCATGTCCTCTCCAGTCTGGTGAGAGCATACCCCCTGCAGCATTGCTGCCAACGGTTGCTGGCGCTGCCCTCCCTCTCCTTGGTCTGGTTAGCAATGTTTGGAGCAGAATGCTCAGTTTTCTCCACAGCACAATGTGCTGAACTGTGTTGGATCATTGGTTGTCTTGTCCCATCCCAGAAGCTGCCGAAGTATCAGTCCTGCTGCATTTTCCTTACTCCCAGCACCTGGTGTACCTTCCCATTGAGGTGCAGTCTGGGCTCACTGATTGGTCTCAGTGTAGTTTTGGATCGTTGGTTTTGATGAATTAGGGGACAGAGCAGCAAACTGACAGGCCCTGGACACCCACCACTGTGGAATGGGCACTATTTTTATTTGTATTTCTCCTTTTCTCTTTTCTTTT